ATTTATATACAATTTGAAATTGGTGCATCGTCTGCATGTGCACCTGCTATGTTTGACAATATTCCTATTCACCCTATCACATCTTTCATTCTTTGAATACTTGCTTTGAGGCTAATTAATCACTATTCTTTAATCTCAACTAGCTATATAATTAAGCAACTAAATCTAGCAACTGGATTTACAATAATCAGTCCCACGCGGAGCCAGAGGCAGCACTAACTATCCTTTCAGATCGTCAGCTTGCTAAAGCTAATTAATTAGCATGCAACCTCCCTGGATTAGCGGGTCTATCAATACATAATTAAGAAATATGATTTGCATTTGCTAAGAAGATGGATTTTGGATAGTCTCCGTGCAAAATATATTTTTTGAATCACGGGGTGCTATGTACCACTTACACATTTTAAATGTATTTATATGCGTAAATTGACAAAGGGAAAGTTAAATATTTGAAGTAAATGAATCATTTTAGATCATGCTAGAAGAAACCCCTCATGAACCAATTAAAGCAGCTGAATCCATCTAATAAAATCGGTCTCTATAGAATTTACATTAAAAATAGAGAAAATAATATTTAATAAACAACTGATTGAATCACATTATTGCTAGCATGTTGTGAGGCTAAGCCCACCTCCATCTCCCTTAGTGTAGATAATATCGTTTTTAAAATAAAAAAAAATCATTTGACAACTAATTTAATCACATTATTATCCACGTGTGAAAAACCTTTTTTATAACCTGCATTACACGCATCTTAAGATGTTTTGAACATGTTTAAAAATAGAGAAAATAAAATTGAATGAATAGCTGATTGAATCACATTATTGCTAATCTATTGTAAGGTACTAATTAAAAAAAACATCACCTCCTTACAATGGGCTAGCAATAATGTGATTCAATTAATTGTTTATTAAATATTATTTTCTCTGTTCTTAATGTAAATTCTATAGAGACCGATTTTATTATGTGGATTCAGTTGCTTTAATTGGTTTCTTCTAGAATGATCTAAGATTATTCATTTACTTCAAATATTTAACTTTCCTTTTGTCAATTTACGCATATAAATACATTTAAAACGTGTAAGTCGCGCGTAGCAAGCCGTGATTCGCGTGTAATGCCTATGATAAAAAAAAAAAAAATGTCTTTTGCACATGAATAATAATATGATTAAATTAGTTGTTAAATTAAAAAAAAACGATATTATCTATACTAAGGGGAGGGAGTGGGCTTAGTGTAACATCCCACATCGCCCAGGGGAGTAATTCTTAAATGTATATTCTCATCCCTACCTAGCACGAGGCTTTTTGGGAGTTCACTGGCTTCGAGTTCCATGGGAACTTCGAAGTTAAGCGAGTAGCGCGCGAGAGCACTCCCATGATGGGTGACCCACTGGGAAGTTCTCGTGTGAGTTCCCAGAAACAAAACCGTGAGGGCGTGGTCGGGGCCCAAAGCGGACAATATCGTGCTACGGTGGTGGAGCGGGCTCGGGTTGTGGTGGGGGCCCGGGCCGGGATGCGACAATTTGGTATCAGAGCCTAACCCTGGCCGTGTGTGTGCCGACGAGGACGTCGAGCCCCTAAGGGGGGTGGATTGTAACATCCCACATCGCCCAGGGAGTGATCCTTAAATGTATATTCCCATCCCTACCTAGCACGAGACATTTTGGGAGCTCACTGGCTTCGAGTTCTATGGGAACTTCGAAGTTAAGCGAGTAGCGCGCGAGAGCACTCCCATGATGGGTGACCCACTGGGAAGTTCTCGTGTGAGTTCCCAGAAACAAAACCGTGAGGGCGTGGTCGGGGCCCAAAGTGAACAATATCGTGCTACGGTGGTAGAGCGGGCTCGGGTTGTGGTGGGGGCCCGGGCCGGGATGCGACACTTAGCCTCTTAAAGGGCTAGAAATAATGTGATTTAATCAGTTGTTTATTAAAAATTATTTTCTCTATTCTTAATGTAAATTTTATAGAGACCGCTTTTATTATGTGGATGTGATTCAATCAGCTTTTTATTAAATATTATTTTATCTATTTTTAAACACGTTCAAAACATCTTAAGAGGCGTATAATGCTGGTTATAAAAAAAGGTCTTTCGTATGCAGATAATAATGTGATTAAATTACTTGTCAAATGATTGGTTTTTTTTTTTTAACAAACGATATTATCTATGACACACCCCGACCGAGATCAGGGCATGCTGGCCGTCACGTGGAAGAACTAGCTAGGGGGCAAAGTGGTCATTATTGTGACATCCCACATCGCCCAGGGGAGTGATCCTTATATGTGTATTCTCATCCCTACTTAGCACGAGGCCTTTTGGGAGCTCACTGGCTTCGGGCTCCGTAGGAACTCCGAAGTTAAGTTAGAAGAGGGCTAGAGCACTCCCATGATGGGTGACCCACTGGGAAGTTGCTCGTGAGTTCCCAAAAACAAAACCGTGAGGGAATGGTAAGCCCAAAGCGGACAATATCGTGCTACGGTGGTGGAGCGGGCTCGGGAAGTGGTCCGCCCCGGGCCGGGATGTGACAATTTGGTATCTGAGCCTAACCCTGGTCGTGTGTGTGCCGACGAGGACGTCGGGCCCCTAAGGGGGGTGGATTGTGACATCCCACATCGCCCAGGGGAATGATCCTTATATGTGTATTCCCATCCCTACTTAGCACGAGGCCTTTTGGGAGCTCACTGGCTTCGGGCTCCGTAGGAACTCCGAAGTTAAGCGAGAAGAGGGCTAGAGCACTCCCATGATGGGTGACCCACTGGGAAGTTGCTCGTGAGTTCCCAAAAACAAAACCGTGAGGGAATGGTAAGCCCAAAGCGGACAATATCGTGCTACGGTGGTGGAGCGGGCCCGGGAAGTGGTCCGCCCCGGGCCGGGATGTGACAATCTACACTAAGGGGGAGGGGATGAGCTTAGCCTCATAATGGACTAACAATAATGTGATTCAATCAGTTCTTTATTAAAAATTATTTTCTCTATTCTTAATGTAAATTCTATAGAGGCCGATTTTATTATGTGGATTCAGCTACTTTAATTGGTTTATGAGAGATTTCTTCTAGGATGATCTAAGATTATTCCTTTACTTCAAATATTTTGACTTTCCTTTTGTTAAGTTACGAATGTAAATATATTGAAAATGTATAAGTCGCGCATAGCACGCCGTGATGCAAAATATAGTAAGCATAAATATGTGACCTACATTATCTTCTTCTTCTTATATATAAAGCCAACAAGCTCAATGAACGAGCTTCACAAAAAATAATTGAACAAAAATGCCACTTAAACAAAAAATTTCAAAAGCAACCCAAAATAATGCATAAAATGTGGTAGGGGTATTTTTGTCATTTTAACAATGTTTTTTATAATTTTTTTTTACAGTTTTTTTTAATTAATACCTCACAATAGGCTAGCAATAATGTGATTTAATCAGTTGTTCATTAAATATTATTTTCTCTATTTTTAAACACGTTCAAAACATCTTAAGAGACGTGTAATGAAAGTTATAAAAAAGGACTTTCGCACGCTGATAATAATATGAATAAATTAGTTGTCAAATGATTGTTTTTTTTTTTTTTTTTAACAAACAATGTTATCTACACTAAGGGGGAGGGGGTGGTCTTAGTCTCACAATGAGCTAGCAATAATGTGATTCAATTAGTTTTTTTTTAAATATTATTTTCTCTATTCTTAATGTAAATTTTATAGAGATCGACCGATTTTATTATGTAGATTCAGCTGCTTTAATTGGTTTATGAGGGGTTTCTTCTAGCATGATTTAAGATTATCCATTTATTTCAAATATTTGACTTTCTTTTTGCCAATTTACGCGTATAAATACATTTAAAATGTGTAAGTCGCGCGTAGCACGCAGTGATTCAAAAAACGCCTTCTGCACTTGCTTACGAAGGCTAGTCTTCTATATATAAAGCCAACACTAAAGTGAATACTATTTTTTGGTGTCACAAGCTTCAAAAAAAACTTCAAAAGCCCAAAATAATGCATCAAATGTGGCAGGGGTATTTTCATCATTTTAATAATATTTTTTTAATTATTAATTTTTTTGTACAATTTTATTTAATTAGTACCTCACAATAGGTTAGCAATAATGTAGTTCAATCAGCTATTCATTAAATATTATTTTATCTATTTTTAAACACGTTCAAAACATCTTAAGAGGCGTGTAATGTCATTTATAAAAAAAATATTTCACACGCGGATAAGAATGTGATTAAGTTAGTTGTCAAATGATTTTTTTTTTTTTTTTGACAAATGATACTATCTACACTAAAGAGGAGGGGTGAGTTTAGCCTCACAATGGTCTAACAATAATGTTATTCAATCAGTTGTTTATTAAATATTATTTTCTCTATTCTTAATGTAAATTCTATAGAGACCGATTGTGTTATGTGAATTCAGCCGCTTTAATTTGTTTATGAGGGTTTTTTTTTTAGCATGATGTAAGATTATTCATTTACTTTAAATATTTGACTTTCTTTTTATCAATTTACGCATGTCCTCAGATGTATGGTCACCTAATATTAAAATGTGGACAACACATTGAATGTCACAAGAGCATGCTGGCCATTGGGCTCAACACGTTGACAACATGACTATGATACCATAAAAGAAGTTGATATTTCACTATGAAATTAATTATTAATAATATGAGAAGTAGCCGAACATTTTAAAACAAATATATGGTCCTTTAATATTAATCTGCGCAATAAGTAATGAATGGAACTGAAATAGGAAAGCCCAACAACCAAAGGTTGATTAGGCCATTAACTCTAGACTCCACATGATTGGTTTGCATGTTGTTGTATATTATCTATATACTAAAACCTGGTGGAAAAGTACTGTTCACGAGCAGTGTAATGGCTTAAATGCCCCTTGGTGTCTTCTTTGTTTCATGTTGTCTTACATGCTTGGTACAGTGAACTGCTTGAAATGCCCCTCATGTTAGTCTTTGCAGTTTGTTTTTTTCCATTTTGTACACAGTTGGTCTCCACTATTCATCATGTGAGAGAGGCGACTGTTCACCAGCAGTGAACTCCCTAAGCTGCCTTCCCATTCCTTCCTTGCCGGGTCTTTTTTCCCTCTCTGCTGCAAGAAAATGACCTCCTTTCCCAAATCTCCTTCAGTTTCCAAAATCTCCTTTAACTTCCTTTTCTCAACCTTTGGTTTCCGATCTTCTCATCTTTCTCATTTTTCTCAGCCAAATCATCTGTGCAAATTTCTTGTGTTTAAAACCTTTGGAAAAATAAATAGTTATTGCATCTTACGTTTAAAATCCCTGGGTCAGTACTGATTTTGTTGGTTTTTCGATTTTATCAGGGTGGATTTGTTACCTCCAAGGTTCACCTTTGTTTGGTGGTGAGTTTTTTTAACCTTTATAGTATTGCTGTTTTAATTTTTTTTTTTTTTGTATGAATTTTTTGTGGGATTTCTTGTATTAATTTTTTGTATGATTTTTTTTTTATTCTAATTCTAGGTATTTTCTTTATATCGTTAGATCCGATGTCTGGGTGTATGATTTGTTTGTGTTTTTCGTTTCAGAACACGTTGCTCTATGTTTTTTGGAATTTAGTTTTTGTAATTTTGGGTGTTTTGTTTATATCCATATCTGTCGTTTGGTTGTAAGATTTGCTTCTTTTTTTTGTTTCAGGGCACTTTGCTCTTCGTCTTTTGGGGCTTCTATGTGCAGCTTCGAAGTCGTTTATGGTCAAGGTAAATAATTTCAGTTTTTTCCTTTTAGCATTTTCTGCAACAAATTTTATTTATTTATTTTTTAATATTGTGAAGTTGTGTTTTCTATAGTGTGAAAGTCGAATATGTGGGAATTATATATATATATATATATATATATATATATCTTTCTTTTTTTAGATTTTGGTGTCTTTTAGGGTTTTATTCTGTAGCTTACAAGCCATTTTTGGGTCAGGTATATACTTTATCTCTTTGCTGTTACATTTATTTTTTATTTGGGTTTTTTGATTGTTTGTGGTTTAATTTTCCCCTGAAAATTTAAAAAGAGAGGAATGGTCATGATTAATTTTTGGGTTTTGCCTTGGATGTTTCCGTTTTTGCTTAGATGAACAATTATTTTTTTATTTTATTTTTGTGTTTTAATTAAAAGGCCAAAATTTTGTCAAGAATAGATATGGATGGACATGATTACTTTTTCAGTTTACTTTGCCTGTTTCGGTTTTTAGTGTGGGTGAACAAATTATTATTATTGTTTTTCGGTTAAAAGCCCAAAGATTAGTGAGAAATGCATATGCCTAGAAGAGTAGTCGGTGCGGTATCTTCGTCAGTGTGGTAGAAGGTGTGCTAGGTTCATTTCATAGCTTGGGGACCATAGCTTTACATGTTATTCAAAAAGGTCAAAAAGGGGGATGATTTGAACAGTATAAATACACGAAAAAGGAGATCATTTTTAATTTAGAAGGTTTTGTTTGTGTGTTTGGATCCTAGGTGTAACTAGATAACGCGGTTCTCTTTTCGTTTTGAGGAAATAGTGGTTTTTTAGGGTTCTGTGTGCAGTGGCCTTTAGAGTTTAGTGGTGCTTGCATTCAATCTGTTTTCAAAAATATTGTTTTGTGAAGTGATGAGGCAATCGGATTTCTGGGGTTGATGAAATTGTTTGGTGTGATGCTCTTTCTTTGTTTGCATTAATTGAGTTTATAATGTATTTTAGAACCTGAATTATAGATTTGTTTTCCGTATTGAATCTCAAATTATCAGTGTATAGATACAAAAAATGATTTCAGTATGTATTTTTTTGAGTTTATAATGGTATAATAATTTGTATAAAAAAATACGAATGACAAATTGTGACAAAATTATGTTTGGCAAGATAAAATTTCTATGTCAAATGGTGAAGTATCACAACTTGGTTTCCAGTTTTAATGTTCTTTTTATGTGATGTCTTTGCTTTCATAAATTGATACTTTATTGTTGATACAACTGATTTGGTTTTGCAAACCATAATTTTTAAGCAACAAAATTGAGCTGGAAATTAAATTGAGGTATGAATGCTTCCACTTATTCAGGTTATTCAATTGATATTTTCCTTTACTAGATTTTATTTTTTAATGTTGTTTGATAAAACTAATTTGGTTTTGTAGATTAAGATTTTTAAGCAAGAAAATCAAGTTGGAAATTCAATTGAAATTGTAATGAATCTGCAAATTTGTCAAGTATATCTTACATTTGTGGTTCCATTTTCACTTCACCCATAACTACTGAATTTTGTCTCTTGACTGGATGGATTTTTATAATTTCCAGGATCTACAGTTGCAATGCCTTTGATGGATAAAACAGAGAGGACCCAGCTACTCTTATAGAGCTTCTTTAGCATTGTAAGTTAAAATTGCATATCATTTTTTTGCTTCATGGAATTCATTATGTTTAATAGCATACCAATTATGTGATACCAATTGTTATCTTGGCAGTTTCTAACCATTTGTAAAGTACGGATAAATGTTTAGAAGTTTGAATTATACATATGAAAGTTTCATCTATTATACTCTTTTACTAATTTTTGTTCCACAATCAATAATTCACAGGTAATGTTATTCAGAGTGGTTCAAAGAATTTCAAGAGCTTCATTCATCCAATTTATGCTCTTCATGTAAAAATTCTTTCAATAAGTTCAAACGTCTTTCAGTGTTGATAACATTAACATTCTGTAACAATTTATTATAAGCTTTGAAATATTTTTTCATACGATTTCTAATCCTGCAGCAACGCGCATGCAATATTTCTAGTAATTTTCCTATAAGCTTAACGGCCCATTTGCAATAATTAGATATCTTAATTTGGTGTTAATAATGATTCCTGTTTTATGAGTCGACGTTGACCTACTCAAGTTTGTTTTTGCGAATCTGTTAGGAATTACAACATTGAAATTAAGAAACCCCCTCCCCCTCCACCCAACCAACACCCACAAACACACCTAGACATCCTATATATACACACACTATGAGATAGCAAATTTTGAATTTCTTATGATTTATTTTAATCAATATATTGGTGATGTTATTGTTTTAATGCAGAAACTAAAGAATTATTTCCTTCATAGATGTAACCGAGATAGTGTACACATGTTTGGTGGAATGGCAATCATCATGCAATAATAATGGACTAGTAATTCTATATATATTTGATAACGGCCCATTTGCAATAAATAGATATCTTAATTTAGTTTAGATCAATAAATAATTTTATATTTTTGTTTACGTGTTATTTTATTCTTTGGAATACGTCAATAAATTTAATTATTTCTTCAACTAAGGCCAATAAAACCAACTTTCCTCTCCAATTAAGGTCACTACCCTTTTGAGTATTTCTCTTTTATTGACACTTGTGAAGAGCACAAATGTTGATTGATTCAATTCTAGTGCTAAAAGTATTTTGTGACATAAACAAATCACCCTTTGAATAATTATTATATAAAGTTAATGGCGGCATAAAACTTCTGTTGTCATTAAGGGTAAGATAATCTCCATATTGTCATGGCAAAGATGATGCTATTCTTCAAAATTTGGTCATACAGAATCGAGGTAGAGCAATCTCCAGGCAAGAACTAGATACACGCATGCATGAAGCTAGAACATATAAAGTCAACAAGCTTAATGAATAGTGTTTTTGGTGTCAAAAGCTTCACCAAAAATAATTAGACAAAAATGCCCCTCTAACAAAAAACTTCAAAAGCAACCCAAAATAATGCATCAAATGTGGTGGAGATATTTTCGTCATTTTAACCGTGTTTTTTATAATTATTTTTTTTCTATTTTTTTTAATTAATACCTCACAATAAATTAGCAATAATGTGATTTAATCAGCTGTTCATTAAATATTATTTTCACTATTTTTAAATACGTCAAAATATCTTAAGAAACGTGTAAAGTCGGTTATAAAAAAGACCTTTTGCAGGCGGATAATAATGTGATTAAATTAGTTGTCGAATTAATGATTGTTTTTTTTTCTTCAACAAACGATATTATCTACACTAAGGGGGAGGGGGTGAACTAGCTTTACAATGGGCTAACAATAATATGACTCAATCAGCTGTTTATTAAATATTATTTTTCTATTCTTAATGTAAATTTTATAGAAACTGATTTTATTATGTGAATTCAACTGCTTTAATTGGTTTATGAAGGATTTCTTCTAGCATGATCTAAGGTTATTCATTTACTTCAAATATTTGACTTTCCTTTTGTCAATTTACGTATATAAATATATTTAAAATGTGTAAGTCACGTGTAGCACGCCGTCATTCAAAAAATACATGAGCGTGCCTGAATGCTAGTACAACTAAAAGTTAGAGAAAAATGCCACGTCTATTGGTGTTAAAATTTCATTATTTTCGTACTTTGTTAATATAAGGGGTTTTTGAACTTTAATCATTGAAGAAAATTAAAAATCTAATAAAAACTTGGTGTTAGATTAGATATTGATTTTAGTCCTCTAATGTGTACTTAATTCAAATTTGTATTATATTTTTGTTTTAATATTTAATAGATATCTTATTTAATGTCATTACATTAAAATTAAAATTATTTATTATTATACACATTTTAATTCATTATATTTATTTTACTTTCTCTAATTGGTGCACCTAAATGTCATATCATAATATATTTTACTAAATTAGTATACCGAAATGTCTGTACTTAAATATATTATAGTGAATTAGTGACACATAAGAAAATATGCAAAAACATAAGTGTATCGAAAAATTCTGTACCTAAATATAAGATACTAAACCAGTGTACTGAAATGTCGATTCCTAAATATATTATAATAAACTAGTGTACCAAAATGTACGTACCTAAACATATTATGCTAACCTAGTGTACTGAAATGTTCATATACCTAAATATATTGTAATGAATTAGTGTCACATAAGAAAATATGCAAAAGAATGTGTACCGAAAAATCTTTACAAAAATATTTTCTTATATAAGATACTTACCATAATGAGAATTAAAATTTATAATATTTTCATAAAATTTAATTTATGAACACCATAAAATTTTAAATAAAAAAGAGAGATATTTAATATGCTGGCATTAAATAGAGTTTGGGGACTAAAATCAATTTTTAATCTTGTATAAGACATTTTTCTAAACTTCATCTTATTTAAGCACTAAAATCTAGTCTTCTATTAATATAATTAAGATAAATTACAAGTAGCAACTTCAAGTTTGGGCGTAGCATGGGTGGGCGCCAGACTGGTGCCCAACCAGTATAAATAGCAAATAACCACACCCTCCAACTCCCATCAGCCCTTGAAAAATAAAATGTCTGCACCTCAAGGACATCAAACCCCAAAAACGACAACTAATGATGTTAATCGACGTTCAGCAAATTTCTCTCCCACCATTTGGGGCGATTATTTCTTATCATATGCTTCTATTGTGCGAAATTCATTTAGACTAATAGTTTGTCATTATATATTTATTATTTTTTTCATTCTTTCTAATGCCGTTTCAATTTGTCTGTTCAGGAAACAAATATAGAAGAAGAGCAACGTATTCAAGAACTGAAGGAAAGAGTGAAGAGGATGATAATGTCTCCAATACCTAGTAAACCTTTGAAAAAATTGGAATTGATTGATGCCATTCAGCGTTTAGGCGTCTCCCGCCATTTTGAAAATGAGATTGATCAAGTTTTGCTGCAAATTCACAACTCTTATCACTGTTATCACCAAGGAAGTGATGATGATGAGGATCTTCATGCTGCTGCTCTCTATTTTCGATTGTTTAGACAACAAGGTTATAATATTTCATGTGGTAAGTTCCCCCTCTCGGTGCTCATGGATTGTTCTATAGCTATATATGGATTAAATTTTTTTCCTCTAATTAAGCACGTAATGCAAGCATTAATTTTTTTTTTTTTGAAGCAGATATGTTCAACAAGTTCAAGGACGTCAATGATGCGAAATTTAAGGGATCACTCACGAATGATATTGTCGGACTACTAAGCTTGTACGAAGCTACGCATCTGAGGGTACACGGAGAAGATATACTAGAAGAGGCATTAAGCTTCACCACCACTCATCTCGAGTCAGCAGCTCATCGTTTAAGCCCCGGGCCACTTTTGCAACAAGTAAAGCATGCATTGTACCAGCCATTCTGGAAGGGCAACCCAAGGCTAGAAGCAAGGCGTTACTTGTCCATCGACTGCGAAAAGAATTCACATAATGAGACTCTCCTGACTTTTGCAAAGTTGGATTTCAACCTCTTGCAGAAAGTCCATCAGAAGGAACTAAGTGAAATTACAAGGTTATTATACATATATGTGTGTGTGTGTGTGTGTGTGTGTGTGTGTATTACTGGCAATTAATACCATCAACTTCATGCAAAACTAGTTAACTAATGCATTAATCAAATTGTACTTAAATTAATTAATGCAGATGGTGGAAGGAGTTGGACTTTGTAAACAAGTTACCGTTTGCAAGGGACAGAGTAGTTGAGAGCTACCTTTGGGCTTTAGGGTGCTACTACGAACCTGAATACTCGTTTGCTAGGATGACATTTGGCAAAGTAACTGCTGTGTTAGTTGTTATTGATGATATTTATGACGTGTACGGCACATTTGAAGAACTAGAGCTGTTTACTGAAGCTGTTGAAAGGTTTGAAAATAAACTAATAATAATCGTTTAATTTGTTCATCTCACAATTTACAGCAGTTTATTAGCTAGATTTTTTTTTCTTTCTTTCATTGAACGTCGACAGTACGCGATTCTAACAGAAGCAAGACGTCTAAAAATTCGAACTTCAGCTAGTACTTTTGGATAAGAGCGTTCTTGGATTGTTTAACTCGCTTATTTTAAATGTTTCGTCGTCGATCATCAGGTGGGACGTCTCTGCCATGGTTCATTTGCCAGAGTACATGAAAGTCTGTTATCAAGCATTGTTGGATCTCTACGCTGAAATTGAGGAAAAGCTTGGAAACGAGGGAAACTCATATCGCATCAACTATGCGAGAGAAGCAGTAAGTCTCACAGACAAATGTCTTTTCCATCATACTAATTACTGTTATGTAGTAATTTGTATCATATTTCATTTTCGATCGTCATGAGTAATTAATTATAGAAAAAAGATCAATTGAAGCTTTATTACGTATATGTACATCGCTTGGTCGTCTCTCAGATGAAAATCCAAGTTAAATCTTACTTCAAGGAAGCAAAATGGTTCTACGATAACTACACACCAACCATGGATGAATATTTGTCAGACGCACTTAATACATCCTACTTCTTGCTAGCAACCATAGCCTTTGTTGGAATGGGAAGTGTTGTTACAAAAGACTCCTTGGATTGGGTGTTTAGTGACCCTAAGATTGTAAAGGCAACATCATTAATTGGTAGACTCGTGGATGATATAAAGTCTCACAAGGTATGTATTTAATTATATAAATTCATTACTACGTAGTATTACCATTCTTTTCCTTGAGAAAATTAGAGTATCGATCCTTGAACAAAAAATTTCTGAGTATTGGTCTATGAACTTGTCATTGTGTGGAATAATGATTCTTTTGGGTTACTCTGTTAGAACTTCCATCCTCGAAAAGATCAATACTCCACACTGTGGCAAGTTCAAGGATCAATATTCAAAGATTTTTAGTTTAGTGGCGAAAACTCCAATTCGACTAAAGTTCAGAATCAATTAATTCTCTAATTTTCTCTTTTTTCTTTGCATATATAGTTTTTTATTGATTCTTTATTAGCTAGATTTGTTCTACTACTACTACTATAACCTCGATTTTTTTTTTTTCATTTTGAAGTTTGAGCAGAAGAGAGGGCATGTTGCCTCATCAGTGGAATGCTACATGAAGGAACATGATGCCACAGAGGAACAAGCAATAATCGAACTAAGCAAGCAAGTGAATAATGCATGGAAGGACGTAAACGAAACGTGTCACCGCCCTACCATTTTCCCTATGCAGCTAATACTACGAATTGTCAATCTTGCACGAGTGATTGAAGTTTTATACAAGCATGACGATGGCTTTACTCATGCTGGAATCTTTCTCAAGGATATTGTGGTTTCACTCTTTGTCGAACCCGTGCCTCTTTAGGCCTTCAATTTGGACTAGTTGTTCTCTTTACTAAATTCAACAATAAGGCATCGCCATTGGCCAACAAAATACGAATGAGCCAGTCTTTGTACTGGTATTTCGTTGAAACCATGTTTTAATATATTTGTTTGAATTGTTTGTTTTCTCTTTGATACTACAAATGAAATAAATTTAATTTCCGTTCTGTGAGAATTTATATACTCGTCATTGAATTCTGTAGAATGTTGTAGTGTAATTCCCAAAGTGTTGGAGTAGGAGTTGAAGAAGGGAATTGTTATGAAATTGAGTAAATTATGAATTACATTGGATCTCCTAAGTCCTAATTAGGTAGTCTTTAGAAGGAAAAACGATATTTTGGTTTCAAGGTTTTTGTGGATTTAGAATTATTTGTTCAATTAGGATATCATTATTTTGTGTTTCAAGTTAATTAGTCTTGTATCTTCTTGTATTATAAATATGACAAAGAAGGATATACATCAAGGGAAATCGAACTAATTAAATCCAATTGTTAGAATCCATTAGCAAACTTAGAGTCCACTAGTACAACGTGGCAATGCTTAGTGGTGATACTCACTAATCATATGTAGACACGTAAAAGAATAATGAATAATTGAATCCCATATTTAAGATGGACCATATTTAAAAAGTAATACCAACCGTATTACGCCTATTACAAATATAACTTATGCAAGGATCCTTAGACCTCCTTGTGGCTTTTTTTTTTTTTGGTAAATCTGTGGCCTTTGTGTTGACCACCAACACAATTGGATAAGATCTTTCAATTTGTAATTCGCCTAAAAGAATTTGGCTGCCCAACCTTTGCTAGGTTTCTTTATGCAAGAAAAGAAAGATTGATGCTACCTATCTACCTTCCTCTCTTGCCCTTCTATACTTATCTTCTTTACTATTTTTTGACACATGAACTTCACTTATACATCAAACTAGGAAATGAATTATCAAGGTACACACATTTTTTTCCCATAAATACCTTAATTAGAAATATATAATTAAAAGTTAGAGAGAAATGGTAGCAACTTTTTCATTTCAACCTTCACACTTTTCTTCATATACCACGTGTACTTGTACTAAAATACCATTATTTTTCTTCCTTTGTTAATATAATTAAGGGTAAATTACACTTAACACGCTCAAGTTTGGATGTAGCATGGGTGGGTACTAGACTGGGAAGTGGACAGGAGAAATTTTGAGGCGGTGGATACTAACCAATAGGACTGCCGCATTAACTATTGTTGCCGAGCTAACAATAGCTATTGGCTAATATTGAAAAGGAGATGGCGGAATGGGAAGAGTTCACGGAGATATTAATAAGAGCAGTTCCACCCCTAATACAAATGTGCCAGCACCCATTGCATTTATTCAGTCAGTGAACAGTGATAGACCCCAATGAACAGTAATAGGCCAAGGGCATCTCCACCCCTAAAAAAATGAGCTGGCACAAATTCTAAAAATGCGCTAGCACCCAGCCCATTTAAAATATTTTAATTTTTTTATAAAAGAATAAATAAATAAAATAGTTTAATTTTTGGATAAGATTTTTAACCAATTTCGTCACGCCACATGTTATTATCCGAACGTACTATTTTGTGAATAGATTTCCGCTAAGATTTGCAACCAATCCCGACGTGCCACGTGTCACTATCTATTTACAATAATTTAGCCAAGATTATGATATAAGATTTTCAACCAATCTTATTACGCCACATGTCATTATCCGAATATACTATTTTGTGAATAGATTTCCGATAAGATTTTCAACCAATCCCGACGCGTCACATGTCACTTCCTGTTTGCAATAATTTAGTCAAGATTTCGATAAGATTTTCAACCAATCACGTTGTGCCATGTGGCATTGTCCAGAACCTCATCGTTTTTTTTTTGTCCATATAAACCCTACTCTACATCCATCCTCACACCAAACTCAATCCTTCTTTTTAGCTCAGAATCCTTCTTCATCGTTTGAAAATCTTGAGTTTTTTTTACAATGTCTTCTTCAAGTAGAGTGCATAAACAATTTGAGGAGCAACATAAAAGAGTGTTGGCATAACAGGAAGAATTGATCAATCTCGACGAAGGTGGAGGTGGAGATGAGGTTTTCGCAAAGGAGGAGGATGAAGATGATGACCATAGAAGGCAGAGGGCCTCACATTCCTGCCGTGTCATGGAAGCTGTGGGTTAGATAGCCAAACCCAGATGTGCCGCAAACTTTGATAGACAAAGGGAAGGAAGAGGTAAAGATCTCTTGGAAGATTATTTTATTCACAACAACGTATTCCCTGATCACGTTTTTAGACGTTGTTTTAGAATGCAACAAAGTTTGTTTGACAAAATCATGAGTGCTATTTGCAACCATGATCCATACTTTGTGCAAAAAGAGGATGCTTTTCGTGTTCTAGGTCATCTTCCTGAGCAAAAAATTACGGCTGCCTTGCGAATGATTGCATATGGAGCATCTGCAGATCAAGTGGATGAGATCGCGAGGATGGGAAAAATAATTGTTCTGGAGTCTCTGATGCGGTTTTGCTTTGAGTTTTTTCCAATAAGTAGAGGAAGCGTTGAGTTTTTTCCAACGACCTTGAAGACCTTGACTACTTCTGGCGTCTTTTCCATGTACATCGCAAAACACTTTCGTAATTTTACGCCACATTTCTCGCTTATCCATCTCAATTCCCGTAATCGGGTCATGAGTAGTGTGAACCCAACATTCACACAACGTAACATCTTCAATGAGCTTCCACGAAATCATTTTTTTCTCTCAAAGTGTAGAAAATATTGAAATGTAGAAAGTGTAGAAAATATTGAAATGTGGTGTAAGGTGGAAGATGAGGGTTAGGTATTTATAGAAATAAAAAATAAAAAATAAAAATTTTTTAATAAATTTTAGTGTAGTTAATTAATTTGGACCGTTGGGCCTTTTTATTTTTATTTTTTGGGAGAAAAACGTGGACCGTTGATCTGTGATCGGACGGTCCAGATCAAAAATGAAATTCAAATTTTTTTTTCCGTTGGAAATCCAACGATCTAGAAAAACTAGCCGTTGGAAATTCAACAGCAGACAGTGGGCCACGTCGCCTACCCGCGGTGAGATGTGAGTGCGCCTGTGTCGCGGGCCCTGCCTCTGAACGTCTGTCGGGTACTCACACCCATGGTCGCATGAACGCCACATGCTAGGCGCAAAACAAAAAAGGGACCGGTTCTTTGGTCAGTCAAGTTTGGGCTGGCTTGGAGACAAGCTGAGGCTGGGTGCCAGGCAAGTTTGTGGGCTGGAGTGGATTGACTGAGTCCTAGCCTGGTTTTTTGACTGGGCGTCGGCCTAATGTGCCTCCGATGGAAGTGCTCTAAGAGCCCCCCGGGCAGTTGCGAGTGATAGCTTACCTTGTTACGTGGTGCAATTGTAACCTCATATATTATTTTTAAATCTATACAATTTCATACAATGGAGTTACCCAAAATTGTAAAGATTTTACTTGGCTAGCGGGCCTTGAGAGCCATGCCGGCTGCGAATCCCTTGGTGTACAGGAGAGTAGACACCAGGAGAAGTACTCCGTGGGGGAGCGGTACTCTGTGGTCTCATTCACCTTGCCATTAGTGGATCCGGCGGAGAAGAAACGACCGCCAATGAGCTTGTGGCTGAAGAGGTTGGCCGGAGAGTGGATTCGAAGCCCGAGGTGAAGAAACTCGGTGGCAACATCATAGGAAGGGTGAAGCTATGAAGGCTAAGGAGGGGGCTGGGAATCATCTGGGAAGGAGGTCTTTGATTTTCTTTTAAATTTTCTTTTTTTATATTAATTAAGCTTCTAAGTCCAGTTTAATAATAGAGGGCCAAATCGCACAAATGGTCCAGTGGTTCTAAGGTATTCGGAACATAGTCCATGTGGTAAAAAAATACGGATTTAAACTCATGTGGTATAGTCCGAAAGTATTAGTTCTGTCCATTAAATATATAGATAGAACTGTATTTTCACAAAACCTTCTTCCTCATGCTTTCTTTGGAATGTGTATTTTCACAAAACCATGTCTGAGATCAACCTTATCACTGATCTTGATGCCATCCCACTCAGAGCCCTGAATACAACAAATGCAGCCATTTCTTTTTCTGAGTCTTACCCACTTCAACTTTCCCGCTCTCTTAACCATATATGAAATATAATCTCTCTCTATCTCTCTCTCTAGTTGACATCCCTCTATTCATCTTTTCAGGATGCATTAAATTTGCATCATAGTTTGTTTATCTCATTTTTTTCCAGAAAGAAAAAAAGATGAATACCAGAGTACGCACTAATCTTCAGACCATGAAAGCTGTTGTTGCTATGAACCATGATATTAATAAAGTAAGTTGATTTTCTTTTTCCATTTTTGGGTTGTAATTCTTCTTCTTTCTTTAAAGCTGAGAGGTCGTATCATTGACAAATTTCGAGGCCAGTGTGTTTGTTTCTCAAGAAAAAAGTAAAAAGAAAATTCTGGGTTCTCTTCTTGTTGGGTTGTTACCATTCAATGGGAATACCTGATCATTCACTACTAAGATCAAATAGACAAATTAGGTACTTGCGGGTTTTGTCTGGCGAGTGTGATAGCAAGATGTGTTGCGATTGCAATACAAACACCACCAGTATTGGTCCTAGGTATCCCTGCCAAAGTTGTAGCAGATGGATTTGTGGAAAGTGTATTGAGGGCTCTGAGTGGGATGGCATCGAGATCAGTGATGAGGTTGATCTTAGACATGGTTTTGTGAAAATACACATTCCAGAGAAAGCATGAGGAAGAAGGTTTTGTGAAAATACAATTCTATCCATGTATTTAACAGAACTAATATTTTTGGACTAAATCTGTACCACGAGTTTAAATCTGAATTATTTTACCACATGAGCTATGTTCTGAATATCTTAAGAGCACAGGGAGCATTTGTCCGATTTGGTCTAATAGAAGATGTGCCAAATTTGAAGTGGGAGTACTATGTGCTGATATGGTTTACCTAATAATTTCTTCTCCTTCACAATCACGCATGGGTAAACGCCACACCAATAGTACAACTAATTAATACTCTTAATTATTTAATTTGGGGATGTAGGCCATGCTCTGTCCCATCCACTGGGCCACCTCTTGAACTGCCTCCTCGCAAGTCGCAACTGTATGTAAATATCAAAGAACCACACACCTTTTACTCCC